CTATCCACTTTTAGGGGTGTTCTCTCACCTTAACATACGGGTGGTTGGAGGCATAACTACTTCTGCATTGAGGTAAAACTATTCCTTTGAATGTGTAACCAAGGCAGGAAAGAATAAAGTTCCATATTTTAAATTCTTAAATTGAATAACTTATTACAACATCTTTGAATAATGCTATATTACCCATCTTACACTATTTCTCATCCAATACATTTTGAATGGTCTCTTCTAACTGATCTAGAACACATCTGAGGTCTGGGATTTAAGAGTAACTACCTAATTACTATTGTAGCATTTTGACACCTTTGTCACAGTAAGACACATCAGCAGATTCTCCACAGAAATAGTCAACACCACTGGACAAAAAAGGTACAAAGAAAAGATGTAAAGAGAACTGAAAAACATAGAGAAAGGCAAAAGATGCATAGGCAAATACTCCTTAACTTATTGTAGTAATATTTGCACCTTTAATAAGCAGTGTTGCATTTTCTGATTACCAATCTCTAGGCACCCCATTTTCTCTATTTTTTTGTTTCAGATTACACTGTCCCAGTTTTCAAGTCTAATCTGGCTAGAGCATGGACCCCAGCTATCTATTCATATGACATATTATAGTGAAACCTAAATGAAAATCCAGCCTGGGGTACCTCCCCCTTAGAGAACAAAAGGAAGGAAGAAGATTGTGCAGAGGTCTCTTTTGCCAAGAGGTTTGTTTGGAATAAGGTGCTGGACTGAGTCACTAGCAAGACAAAAACCTTCCTCCAGAAGTAGCCCTACCTCAGATCTCAGTCTGAAGTCACACAGTTTTTCAATTCAAAATTTATGCAATGTTTATGTGGATATGCACATGGGTTCAGAAAATCTAAAACCATCTACAATCAAGACCAGGTCTAAATCACTGAACACACAGCTAATGCACAAATGATGATAAAGTGGCAACATTTGCTTTTGCACATTTGTATACCTAAACTGAGCAAAACTGTGGTTTAAATATTTAATGTGATGAAAATGGATACATTTGGTGGTTAGATTTTGTAAAAAACCTACAAAAAGCCCATTCTGAAATAAGTTTTAAGAAATCATTTTTTTTCATTTAGCTTTGACCATAATAAACAAGTGTTGCAGTATTTGTAATTGTAACTTTGCAGGGTGACTTTGTGGATGCCTGGATTTCATGATGTTTGCAAAACGTCTACATTAAGACAGCAAACATGTCAAAAATCCATCCAGATATAGTACAGAGCAGCTGCAGCCTGGGTCACAAGCAAGCACAACCTCTGCCAAGCTCTGCACACAGGGTTGGCTCCCAGTGGGAACTGTGGAAACCCTTCCAGCCACAGATGGGACATGATCTGACCAGAGACTTCTCCACTGCCATCCTTTCCCACCAAGACTCTGAGGATGAAGATCAACAGTGCAAACTAGCTGAGATGCAGACAGATCTGGTAATCTTATGAGAGTAGGCTCAGTTCACTAGAGTGCCTGCTTACTTATTCAGAGTAGCATTTAAATACTTACTGAAGTGCTTATTGTCAATTGATTTTTAAACAGGAAAATTAAAAAATACACCAAGTGCAGTTCAGAGTATTACTGAACCTAAATAAATACATAAAGGTCAATCATGTAGCGAAATGCTGTCATGAATCAGCACAGAACTAATGTGTATTTTTTAATACGTAGTCTGCATCATATTAAAAACCCTAAATTTATTTCCATCTGTTTTTCTAACACTGATCACTTTTCTACATAGATAGTAGTATTTCAAAATTTTCAATGAAAATTAAATTCTCAAACCTGATTTCAGAATTCAATGAGAATTACAAAATGAAAGAATTAAAGATATGGGAAATGAAAGCCTAAATTATATAACTTGTGCTTTTAAATTTCTTTATCTTTCAAGGCCAACTTATAAAGTTGAACATGTGAAAGTTTACATATAAGCAAGTTACACATTTTTATGCAAACACGAAGACACATTTGATCATGTATTTAAACAAATTGTCAACAACTTGTTTGCAAAGCTTCTGAGAGAAAAAAAATCTAGATTTTGTTAAAATTACTTTTGATATGAATTAGGAGGTGACTATCTCAACCATCTCCTCTGCATCAGAAGACATTTTACCACTATCCAAATCAATGCCATCAAAAGAGGCAAAACTACCTAGTGTGCACCCTGTCATACAAACCTAGCATTTATATTATTACTTATTCCCCTGGGGGAAACAGAACAAGTTCTTAAAGTGTAAAATTTCTCTAATAAATAATTTACTATATTGGTAAAACTTACACCATATCTCAGTGTAGAGCAGGGAATATACCAAGGTCTCTTTATGGTCTTCTCACTAAAGTGTGATTTGTAATCAAGAGCATATTGAAATGCATACCAATATTTTTACATGTAATACATCTTCAAATGTCACAAATTACTGAAATCTTGTCTACATGTCAACTTAAGGAATGGCCAGGGAAGAATAAGTTTCCTGAATAAGAAGGGCATATCTGTAACTGCAAAGCTAACAAAGCCTTTTTGATTACAACAGTAGTGGTCACCACTGAAAGTATTATTTAAATATGTAATATATATCTCTCTCATTCATACAGAATCATATAAGTTAAAAAATGTTAAGCAAGCAAATAGTTATGATTGGGGTGACTGCATTTACTAACTAACATTAACTCATTAAGTGCCTGAATGAACTGTTCACAATAGGCAAATATCTGCAAAGCACCATAAAATTAGGAATGATATGTTGTATTTACTTTTCATAGTGTGCTGATCTGAAATACAGGAAACACTTTTACTTTTTGGATATACATTATTTAATGAGTGAAAGAATACTTTGAAAACCATGTTTCCTTCATGTCCAAAACATTTATAGGAAATATACTTTATACAATTTTTGTTAGGAAGAGCAATAAGAATCACTTCCATCCTTTCTAATTCAGTATTATCAAATGATGTGTGTAAAACCTAAATATTATCTAAGCATTGGGGCTGGCTGCTCTTGACTTTCTGACTGACTGGATAAAAAGGATCCAGTGTGATAGCAAGGCAGAAAATGAGTAAAGCAGAGGGAAAGAAACATCAAAACCCCAGTCTGACTAAAATCAGGGTGCTACCATTAAAATAAAACAGTTCTTTCCATAGTCCCCAAGAGAATTCATTCTTGTGAAGAGCAGATTTTTATTCAAAGTACTTTTATATTTAACAATGGCATTTAAAGGGTAAATCCTAGGACACTATACTTAAATTCTGTGCAGAATTACTTCAAATATTTTTCTTGTGCTTCAATTACTGAGTTCAAATCATGAAGAAAAAAAAGTCGTGTCCAATTTTGAAACCTGTATTTTGCCACCTGTGCTCAATGAAAGTATGAATGTATTTTCTTAGTTGTTTCAACCTCCCAAGATACAACATACAAAAGTTCTGAACAAAACTGTACCTCTGAATTCACTCACATTCAAGTACCAGTCTGCACAACCCTAAACCTTATTTTCTGGGAGCCTTTACAACTGTTTGCATATTTCATTAAGAAGAGTTAGCCTCCACAGCACACATGGGCATGCATGCCAAAACAGTAAATCAAGAGTACGAGAACATAAATAGGAAAACATCACATTGTACTGGCATCCAAAAGTGGTTTTTTTTAAATAGATTTGGAGACTGCACCAATAAGATGAATTTAAATTCAAGAGTAACAAATGCTGAAAGAATCAACCCTATTTCTACTTACCCACCCAGAAATGTGCAAATCTCATTTTTTCCTTTATGTAAATGTCCCTTCAAGTGCAGAACGCAAAAAAAGTCTTTCCTGATTCTGTATCTAACAAGGATGATCAAACAAACTACCATACTCTTACTCATTAACAAAAAGAAAACCATAATGTGGTGTCAAAGAAGTTTATGACAACCACAACCCTGTGTAAGGGGAAGTCTACCTGGGCAATCAAAGTAAGGATTTAGAAGTGAGATTATTTTATCTTAAAGATAATACACCTGTCACTGAAACAATGAACATCCCTCCTCATCTAAACAGACTCATCCACTCTCATTTCATATTCAGTTCCCTCTTTCTGAGTAGATTAATTAGTGCTAACATACATATATGGGAAGTTATGTTCTCTTCTTCCTGGAGTTTTAGGCAAGGAGCCAAGGGCCAGAGAGTTATGACAGCAAGGAAACAACTCTGACCTAACTTAGGGATTGGTTCTTCAGGGAGTACTGTGATGATTTTTGCGTGGCAATATCCCCAAAGCTGAGGACCATCATTGCACTTCTGGCAGTAAGAAAACTCATCCAACTGGAGCTAGATATTTGATTAAAACTTTAGGTTTCAAAATATTATGACAAAATTTTCTTAATCACTTGTTAGTTATTAATCAATCAGCTGCATTATTTTTCTCTGGTATTATTTTATATCTGGTTTAAATTAAGAATAAACCCCACATGGATAAACATCTTGTATTTACTTTAAAAAATTTTATGAAAATACAGAATATATGCAATTAAAATGTAGCCCTTTAACAGTAGTACTCTAGCACTAACCATCATCACTATAAATGATTGGAAATAGATATAACCACTACATTGTTTCCTTGATTTGTGGAATTAAACTTCCTAATTCAGACAGTCAGATATTCTGAAGGACTTCTTTCATTATGTTACCCAGAAATATGACATGAAATTTGCATCTAAAATTCTAATTCAAAGAAAAAGCTTTTCCTTAAATTCATGCACTTCTTTGGATAAAGGTTCATCAATTCTCAAGCATACAGAAATTGGTTGTGATAGTCATTTCATGTTTGACTACCTATGTGCTGGAGCTTCAAGGTAATTTTGCTATTTTATACTGAAGGCATCATCAACTAACTGATGCCTGAAACTTCAAAATAACTTTAAGTATTAAAAATTACTTTTTGTAAAACAGTTCTATTCTAGAACAAGTATTTACGGTATTTAAGGGCAAAACTGCACTTTCATTGAAATCCCAGTGCTTGCACATTGTCTTCTGTGCCTTGTGGCTGCTTTTCCCCCTCTGTCTGCAATGCCCACTTGGCAGTGTATTATTGAGTTTAGGTACTTTAAAGTAAAAGAAACCTACATTAGAGCTATCAGCTACCAGCTTACCCTGGAAAAGGTAAATCTTCAGGTGTTTTTAATCCGTTCAGAAGGGCCATTTTAATCCATTCAGAGTAATTTTTCTCTTTATTAAAGAAACCTAACTATAATTTGGCATCAATGTTTACAGTTCTGTAATGTACTCTAATAGTTTGAGATAAGAAAACCCTCCAAATACTGAGATGCTTATTGCAATTCCCTTTGAAAGACTCCAAAGTCTTCTAGCGACTTTGCATTTCCTCTCATTATCTTCTTTATAGCACATAGTGTTATATATTTGAAATACTTTCCACATAAAATCAAACTTGAAATACCCACTTAGAAACAATATTTCAGTAAATAGAGGGTTTAAGGCAAGTCATTCAGTTGGAAAATTAATTTCCATTTGTTAATCCTAGACTGACACAATTTTATTCCACCCCATCGGTGCCTTGGGATACACAACGTACATTCAGCAGAGGGCACACATATGACCCTATGGACATACGTTGCAAGTCCTGAGTGCCCATTGAAGTAATGGTAATATCTTCATATAAGGCGTGACCCACAGGGACATGGCATGGGAGGGGTTAGTTTGTTTTGTTTCCAGTCTTGCTATTGTATGTGATTTTTCCTAGGTAATGCATTCTTTTCTTACTAAATATCTTTGCAAACAAATACAAACCCCTTTAAAAGGTGCTAAAAATGGGTTTCTGAAAACATACAAAATATATTCATCATAGTATTTCCTCAATCACTGTTTTAATGCTTGATATCTGCAGGTTATTTCTTGTTTCTGACTGAAACTATTATTTGTTGTGGAATAATTGTTCTTTTGCAAAAGATTTTCTTCTTCTAGTTTTCTGGACCACACAGGCTGGACACTTTCATGCTTTTTACTTCCTTTTTGAGTTCTTTTCAATGGAAAAACCAACAACACTAGGATGCTGGCAATATGAAGACAGAAATAGCAGGAGCTAAAAAACAAACAGAAATAATAAATCAGTGAAACTCTGACCACTCTAACAAATATACTTGGCACATAAGATATGAAAACATTAATATTTTATTTAAGAAAAGTAAAATAAGGGGAAAATTAAGTCTTCCTTCACATTATTTAGGACTGTATAAAGTGAACAGAAGTCTGCTTTCAACTTTTTTCAGAAGTTATTTCTGGGAAGTCAATATTTAGTCTTGCTATAAAATGTTCCAAGGGCAAATAGTAATTTCAAAGGTATCCTCTGGTTTTGTTTTTGGCTAGGATTTTTCCCTTGCCCCCTGAAAAATAAGTCTGTTATGACAGAAAAGTGTGAGCAACACAAGACACACTGTTCAAGCACTAGAAATTTGCTACAAATCAATCTCAGAATTGTATCACTAAAATAGCTTCAGAAATCTTCTGCCACTGAAAATATTTCTATTCCAAGTGAAAGAAAAGGAAACAGGTAGAATGTGCTTACCTGTAAAAGGTGAGAGAGGGTTTTACAGAGAGCAGTACAAATGGCACGACTGTGTAACTTATTGCTGCTTGAGTTGCCATCCATGTTACAATATCATAACATAGTTTAACAGCAGGAGATTGAACAAAATAGTGTCTGATATTGTTTCTTATCTGAAAAAGCAGGTAATACTGAGTTAGCTGAGGAATAAACCTTGAGAGCTCAGTTTGTTGCATTGACAGAAAAGTCATAGGATGAATTTACATGTTACAGTTTGGTCAAATATATTTGAACTATTCAAAATGCCCGTTAACTTCAAGAATTGGTTCAAATTCCCTGCAATTCATTCAGCATGGGAATTAAGCATTTATCAATTTAAACAGAATTTAAATAAATTAATCCTACCCTAAATCCAATGCAAATTTGCACTGATTGTCTGAATGAGGCAGAAATTGTATTCTATCAAGCCATACTGTAAATATAGAGGGTTGGAGTAAGTGAAGGCCAGAATCTTTCTGACAAAAGCCTCTATATAGAGTAAGCCATTTTTATACACTTGTTAATAAAAATATATTTTAAAGCAAGTAGGGTATATATCAGAATATACAAAATATCAGTTCTAATAACATATTTCAGGGGTCTTAACTTCTGTCAAGTGGGATTATTATAAAATTACTCAAATTTCTATGCTGAATTTTCTTTTATTCTAAAATTCTGCTCAAAAGATTGAATACCAGAAGTATTTAAAAACTCAAATCCAAATCCCACACAGGGTTGGGTTCAGTTTTATTTAAGTCTATAATTATAAAGACATAAATAAATCTTTGCCTCTCCTTCCTTTGACTGAACTGTTCTCCTTGCTCACACTCTGTCTTAGGTGCTGACAAACCAAAATGGGCTCAATTCAGCCTTTGACCCCACTTCATATCACAGTTCCACCTCCCAGTCACCTGCACTGAAGCAGTGCTCTCTGAAAAGCTGCACACCAGAAAATACTGTTCAGCCTCCTTAACCCCCTGCTTCTTTAGAACTCCTTGTTCCAAAGAATGTATCCAAAGCTAGCTCCTGCTGATTTAATTCTTCACATAAAACCCTTTTTGACCCTTCTGGTTCTTCTAATTGCCCTGTAGATACCACATTCCCACTCAGTCTTTTCTTAGTTAAGCTAAGTCAAACAAGTAATTCTAGCTACGTACCCTTCCTTCTGCCATCTCCCTCTAATTATTCCTATGGTCACATGCAAGGACTTGTTCCTGAGTTCTGTAGAACCCAGATGAAGCTTCACAAGCTTTCTTGTAATCTTGTATTTTTAGGACTTGGAGAACAACTTTTAACACAAATCTATGGCTGCCACTAGTAAACACCCGGTTATGAAATCTGTAATGATTAAAGGTAGTAAAATAAGTTGGATACATGCTTAGGCATAACAGAACAAAGTGTGGATCAGTGTTGCCAAACTTTGCATTTAAAGGCTAGTAGAGTTAAACAACAAATATGCTCTAACATATCTTAGTTAATATTAAGTACCTGTTGATACAGAAACTGAAAATACTTTTTTACTAGCCTATTGATTGATACATAGGAAACATGAATACGATATAGTCTACTAGAGTAGCCCTGGATGAAGGGCAGTGAGCACTCCACTTACTGGGCTCATCTCACTAAGTAAACAACTATTATCTGTGAACTGTCCCAGAACCTTGGCTTTTGCTCCAGCCCCTAGCTGACAAATGTCAAAAGTTCCCTGTGATAGATCTGGAAGAAGAAGAAAGCTGTATCTATTGTAAAAAAAGGAGTCGGTTCTGTCAAACAAGGACTATACCCCTATCTTGTGAAGAAAGAGAAGCATTTGTTTATTGATGTAGTAGCAATCTTAATCTGAAGTACCACCTTCCCTTAGCTATTATAGCAACCACAGAGCAGTCGGCTTCATTTCTCACTCCCCTGGTTCTTTCAACAAAAAAGTGCTCTGTTATGCTGCTCTGATCTGATGTGTAATTTGCTCCTCTTTTCCAGTGAGTGACTGATAAACCTGTCTCTGTTCTTACACAGCTTTCTCAGGCAGAACAGTGAGAGATTTCTTGGCAGATTTGCTGTCTCCATATGGTTCTGAATAGCAACTGCAAAAGCTTGTTAATATGACTGCACTATTGGCTGGCCAGCTTGAAATAGTAACTGCACTAGAGACTTTTATGTGCTGCTTGAGGGGGAACATTCTTTAGTTATCATCCTTACAATAGTACTGGAGAGAAATTAGGAATGAGGCAGACTCTAGAAATATATAGCAATGACACCCAAATTTTAAGCTACTCATCGTCACTAATGTTTTCAAAATTATTTTAGGTAACATCAACTGTTCAGCATGCAATAGTAACACACTAACAGTTAATATAGAGGAAGAGCTTCCACAAAAGATACAAAGGTGCTACAAAGATGTTACAGGCTGTGTATAGTCTAGTTTTTTTCCACCAATCAAGCCCTCCTTTTCATTAATCATCCTCATTGTTCTCATAACGAAAAAAAGTAAACACCACTATCAGACAGATTGTGTATTAACAGTAAAGGGCATCTTTGGAGCAATGAACATGATCAATTTGCTTTTACAAAACTTATTATTTATGAAGATACGTGGTTTGTACTTACAGCTCGTGCTGCTAGTGTCATTAGTACTCCTGTTAAAAATGTTAAATAATATCCTGGATATACCCCATGCCAGATGGCAGAAAGAATGAAGGTTTGGATCGTTGGGCTGAAGGTGGCTCGCTCATAGCACACTCTAGCAAGTCAGAAATAATTCAAGATAAGTAACATGAAACAAATCACCCAGTCTTCCCAGCTATCATTTATACTTTTACCAGTTTCATCTCCAACAAAGAGGTTTCAATGCAATTGCAGTTTTCTATTATTTAATAATGTTGTCACTATATTATGGCTTACAAAAAACACTTAAAGCTATTCACAGCTCCCAATTCCAGCCCTCAGTGCTAAACTTGTGCTCAGTGCCATCACACATTGTCCTTATTCCTAATGAAGTGATACACAAGCATCCAAAGATGAGTTTTGGCATTATACAGGATCTTGAGCCATCAAAGAATGCGTTTGAAAAGCTGCACTGGAAGGTACAAACCACTGCCAGATTCTTGGGATGAGTCAGGTATGTTTTCCATAAAATAAGAGCAGCTTATAGGAACAGGGGAAAACTAATAACTGCCTTCAATTTTGAATAATAAAGAAACTACAGTTGAAAACGTGTCTGTGTGACACAATTAAGTGAGCATGACAATGAAATTGTAATAAATACGCTAGTGCTGAGAGAGTATTAAATAAGGAGAAAGCTGAACTCTGTTTTTTTTAAAACTGAGACTCTGAATTACTAGGCAAGGTCCTATAGTAAGGAATTCTAGAAGGAAGAAGGGAAAAAGGAATCCAAGAAAGGTGGTTTCTAGAAGACAACATTATATCACACAATGACAAACCATCATGATGTGGAAGAATGATAGGAAACATGGTAAAGTCCTGATATAGCTTCATCAAGAGTTCTTTAATGCCTTTAATGATCTGAAAACCAAAAAGCAATAGGAAAAATGGAAACAGATACTAACTAACAAAGCAAAAATAAACACCACAAGCATACATGAGCACGAATCTATAGCTAATATACAAAAATGAGTTTTAACTAAAAAAGCTATAGACACAAATATGTTAAAAGGTTTTATAACCACACAGCAAGTAAGAGAGAGAGATAAGAGAATGCACATCTGTTGTTCAAAGATAACAAACTAATGATACTGAGAGCCGCAACATCCACTACCAATCTAACTACTTTACTGCAACTTCCACATAAAGATTACTGAAACCTAATGATGTAATCTATGTTGAAGAACAGAAGGTAAAAAGACAGGATCTGAAGAGGGGAAGATTAAAAGTGTAATTTTCTAATTTAGTTTATTTCAGTCAAATAGATGTGGTAAGTTTTATCTTATGAGGTCTTCAGTGGGATATGTGCACAACTCCCTCCTCTTGCTAAAGGGCTTCATTCAGAGTGGCAGTTAAGATGAGAACATGGGGTTGGCCTAATACTTAAGACTGTCTGAGGACATTTGCCCAAAACAGATCACTTTAAAGAGGAAAGCAACACTGGCCAGGCTGAATAGTAAATAGAGACATTTTTGACAGAGAATCTATCAGCCTCGGGAGTAGCAAAGCATGAGGAAAATGCGCTGAGTCAGGGAGACATCTTGGAGCAAAATACTTCTCATCAAAACCTCATTTGACACTGCCAGAAGTCATCCCACCAACACAATGACCTCTGTCTTGGCCAAGACAGAGCATCCCTGCTAGACACAGAGTAGCTGCATCCAGATAGGGCCTGTCAGTGCAGTGCACCATGAGAGGGAGCAGTGTCTCATCCCTGTCAGCTGCAGGCACATGGATTTGTGCCAGGCTTTTCTAGGGGGCATGTGAAATCACCAGATGCACACCAAGCTGGAGCACCCACATCTCCCACAGGCAGTGCATGCCAGCAGGGTTTTGTGTCCCACACATCCTTAGGAGAGGAGGTGCAGTTTGCATGTAATTGTGTACGTACAGGTGTGCTTTTTAATCTGCTTGAGATTAGTTGCAGAAGAGTGTTTTAAAATGTTTACTACTCCAAAGCACTAAACACATGTGAAATGTTATGTGTTCTAATACTGCTATTAATTCTAAATGTATATGACTGGTGGCTAATTACATCTCATTAATAAAGTGATACATGTCTTCAATCTTTATTTGGTTTAAAGTACTGAAATTATCCCTGGAAAGCATTCAGGAGTGAACAAAACTCATTAAATTAACTAACCAAATTTCACCTGTATCAATGCAAGTGGGGTAAAACAGTACAAAAAAAATTCCTCAGATTTCAATTTCAAAGAGTAAAAAGTAAACTTAAATGCTTCCATGGATTTGGCAATAATAAATCTTGTTCAAATACTTAATTTGATGATCCTAGAAACAAATGAAGGAAATATGGTCATCACAACAGGTTGAGAAAATCTATTCAAATATAGGTGGTTCAGGTTATCCATAATGCTCTAGAAGTGGGAAGATGCATCAACTGTTCAGCAAGGTACTGTCTTCAGTCTGGTTCTATGATTTTTTTACTAACTTAGGTAGTAGACTGAGAAGTATTTCTTCCACCTTGTCTTCCCTTCCTTTTTTGAGATGGAAGTTGGGATGGACAAGATTGACATTGTTTTCTTAGTAGAGAGCACTAGAATCCAAAATGTTCTTGGCAGACTTGAAGGATGTTCTGAAATCAACCAGATGAAGTCCAAAGCATAGAACATCTAATAAGAAAAGTGGAAGACACAAACCAGTACCATTTCTGTAACATTACTCAAAAAGTGTAGCTGAGTATGAATATGGATCAGCAATATGAATCACTGAGCATCAGCTAAGCATGAATCAACAGTAGATTGCTGCTGCAAAAAGAGACAGATAACACCTTTTCTAACACATCACAGTATTACTCAAAGAAAATAATTATAAATAATCCACTCAAATTAATCAACTCTGCCTCTAAAAAGCCAGGGAAAAAATCGTGAAGGTCTTAGCAGAAGTACTACATCTACTCTAAGAAGACAGAAGGTTTGGAAAGATGTCAGAATTGAGCAACAAGAACCACAGAGGTTTTGGAAACATGACCAAAGACAAATGGGATGAGATGGTTTCTTTAAAAAAGAGAAAGAATGGGCTGAGTGGAACATAATAGCTTTCCCAGCCAGGAAACATTATAATGACATATATTGTTATATATGTAACTATGCTACATATGATACTATGTAAATGTCTATTTTAACTTGCATGCTTGTAATAATAATGCCTTTAAATTGCTGTATACTATGATCTACACTAAATATTTACTAAACCTCTTTGTGATCTGTAGCTCCATTAACTGTGTTTTTTACAAGTTTGTTTTTACACACAATCAAGCTTTAACTGATGGTTCCTTTTCTACAATTATCAGAAAAGAACAGAACAAATGCTACTATCTGGTATTTCATGTAAGATGAATGGCTGAACTTTTAGGTACTTCTATAAATGGTAAAAAAAGTGAGTTATTAAAAGTGGATGTTTAAAGTAATCCATTACTTTGTCCTCTATGCAAATTGTTGGAGCATTGCCACTAACCAAATGATTAGTAACAAAGTATATATTCTCTACCACTATTTATGGATCTCTTTTACTTGCAACAAAACTTTCACAGAACATCCACCTTTCCACACCCTTTCACTTTGACAGAATCAATTTAGACCATCCCCAAGGATTCTTTTATTATTGTTTTTAAAAAATACTTATTAAAAGAGATGCTATAATTTTTCTTCACATCTTCTTTTATTATCACCCTGAGCAATTGACTTGCATTTTTTTCTTTCAATTTTTAACAGAAATATTATGCTTCTTCACTAATAATTTTTGCTTAGAATCATTCTGTTTAGCAGATTTGAAAGTTTGTTGAAAGTTAATCTTGTCCTATTATGTTTTAATACTGTTAAACTTCTGTTCTCTAAATCAAAACAGCTAAATTACATATTTGGTTTTTGAAATGCTACATTTGAATACCTGCAAACATGCAATTTTTTGTTGACTGTCCTAGAAACAGATTCCATTGACCATTGAGCCAACCAGAATAATCACATAAAATTCAACTTCTTTTTTAAACTGGGTGAGCAAAATATTTAGGGATGAAATTATGGAAGAAAGAGAACATACTATGAAGAAATCTGATGGAAGAGACATCCAGTTGCCAGCTATCCTAGAATAAGGGGTAAAGTCCTCTAAGTGATCCCAAGATAGGAGCCTCAGTTAAACTTGCACCTGTGGATAGGAGATCAACTCAAGAGTCCGACTGGAAGAAGGGAAACAACACCCATGAGCTACTCAAGAACACTTCTACTTTCTCCTTACCACAAAGAAGCAGAATGGTGCAATTCACAGGGACTGTACCTGTTCCCCAGGCAAGGAAAAAGAGTGCAGCTGAGAGAGTGTCATTTGGAATTTTTGCTGACAGCACATTGTAGGGTTTGATGTCTGTCATACACTCATAATGGAAGGAGCACAGAAAATCCTCTCAGAGAACATAGAGAAGTTCCTGTATCACTTTGTGGCTAAAAATAATGCAGAGCTTTCACAGGCTGAGACGTACACTTTGCCCGCTGCTCTCAACAACGTGCACTGGCTGAATGCTAAGAGAGGGGAAAAAGACACCTCTACAGATTAACAGTTTTAGGTTCCCTATGGCCTGTGAAGGAAAACAGAATCTATCATAACCTGATAGTTTACACTATGAGAGAAGTCCTAAACTCAGAAGCTTTACTTCAAGTATTACAAGAAGAATCTCCTGCACAGTTGCTAAACAAGTGATGTTTTGTGGGCATTAGCTCCAAATGCTATACCATTTTCAAAGAAATATAGATCTCAGAATTTTCAGTGAAAAAAAAATTTCCTTTAAGAAATAAATACCTTTTGAGCCAAAGAGCTGTTTGGATATTCCAGTTATCAAGAAACATCTTGAAACTTGTGGAAAACTGTAAAGTAAAACAAACTAATTATTTCCGTAATTGCAGAGTGTCACAATGTGTTTCAAAATTCTTGTGTATAAATTATAAATCCTCTCACCCAAATTTGTGATGAGCTGAACAAGTTATTTACTCAACTACTTATAACCACAGAATATTTTGGAAGTCAATTGACATGTTCAAAACAGGCTATTTTCCACCCTTTTTTAAAGGTGTGAACACATCATTTTTGACTTAGAACATATTCACTATCTAAAGGAACAAATGTGTAGGAAAAGTTATTGAAATTAAGAGTAACTACCTACATGGGCATGTGTGTTTTTTTGAAAGAACCAGAAACAAACCTCTATTTGCTGGATTCTCAGATTTGATATTAGATCCCAACGTGTAACTCCATTTTTATCGTAGCCTCTAAAACCAAACCCTGCTGCATTATTAATTGCATCTGCTGCAATGACACAAGAAGAAACAAATGAATTATCAACTGTCTGTATTACAAACTGTGCATCACACAACAGGTAGTTTATTCAAAACATTTATCACATTTTAAAGACCGTGTTTAATTTTTCTTTTAAATACTGAGGATCACTTGAACAAACAGAAAACAATCCAAGCAACACTAGCTTCCAATTCAAAAATTTGCACAAAAGCCTAAGAATGAGAGGTAGCACTAGCTACTACACAGTACAGATGTTCCCTGTCTCCCATACCACCTACTTAGACTTGCTTGAGCAATCAGACAGAAAAACAAACTCGATGAGATGCATCAAGACTATAAAACAGTAGCTGGTTTTAATGATTTGAAACAGCAGCTCAATGTTCACATGCATGTCTTTGGTCTTCATTATGCAGCAACAGTGATGCTAAAAGCATAAAGATTAAATTGTGTGATTCCCTCCATGCAGGTGCACATTCACAGCACCCCATGGAGAGCAGTGCAAAGCGAACAGACAAAACCAGGAACTTTCTAAGGAATGCAGAGCTCGTCAAACTTCCACTAATGGCACAAGGCACTGTTACAACACCTTTGAATGTGAAGTGTTTACAGTGCATGTCAAAGGTCAGATGTTTGAAGCAAACAATATTTTTCCATAGGAGAAAAAGCTTCTACTGTCATCTGGGCTATGCAAGAAAATACCAGGGATCTCTACTGCCTGTCGCTTTCAGTCACCACCTTCGCCTGAGCTTTGTTAGCTCAGACACTAACATTTCCTTACCTGTATTTTCAAAATTAGGATGGCCACACATAAGGAAATGACATGTGCTTGAATTTCCAATATTTTTACTTCCTTGTGGATTTTTTCTAAATATCTTTGAAAGTAACAAAATTTGCTGCCTTACATCTGACATTGCTATGCCAACTTCAAATACTGGGCAATAGTTTTATGCTCAATTAGAAACAACTGCAAACACAATTTCCATAATCTTTTGCAAGCTAGAATGCGAAGACTGCAACTAGAGTAAGTACTCGTTTTATTAACTAGCATTTTAGTATTCATTTTAAGTAATTAATTTCATTAATACTTTTTTTAAAGTATAAAGAATAGCAATGAACACCTTAAAGGTGTAACATCCAGTAAAACTGTTAAAGCCCCTCACATTCTACTCCTACCATTATAGGTTTAGATGAGACAAAGTGGAAGGAAGAAGGCTAACAAACTAGAAGTACAGATGAATGCTAGCTCTACACTGCTAGCAAGTGCATAAAGAGGAATCCAACTGAAGTATTAAAGGCCAAAAAAAGCCCAACTGAAATTATTCACTTTTCAGATGACTACTACTATTTATAGATGATGATACGGGTGTATAAGAGCATAATATTCAAATTTATTTCCACAACAAGCCCCAGAACTACTATATCCAGACAAGCTGAAAGTATTTAATTCATTGACCAGGAATGAAAGCAGCAGCTGTAAATGAGTCATGCTGCTCTGCTACCCTAAAGCTTTCTTTATTGCATTGTTCCCACAGATTTTCTCTCAAAAGAACTATCAGACAAATATGCAAAATTGGAGAGGAGGAGGAAGCTGATGAAATCTGTTGTGTGAGCCACTTTCAAGATGTCAGCTTACTTAAATAAAGCATCTTCCTGTTGTACACATTGTTTTTTTACAAGTAACATAAAGGGAAATGCAAAATATTCTTTAAATGGTATAATCTATTCAAGTGTCTTAAATAAGTTACTAAGCACGTTATCCCACCAGTCATTCAAACTTTTAGTAAACTAAGGCTAAAACTGAAGTGTCACCCATCAAATTCTGAAAATGCCACCTACTATTAACAACAGTATCATGTACCTGAATTCCGAAGTATTAATTTTCCTTTGTGATTGAATAAAACCAAGCAAATTACTGATAACTAACCACAGAAAGAGGTTAAAATTAACTCTGAAGATATGCCAAAAATAAAGGTATCAAAATAAATTTTTAAAAATCATAAACAAAAAGGATTGTACATCAGAACAGATGTACCACTACTTTTCCTTTTTTTAAAGTTACTGTTCATTGGAACACTATCACCTTCCAAAAAGAGAGTGATCACTTCTCAAAAAGAGACACTACTCAATGTACTTAATACCTTGAAAGACTTAAATGCAATCAGGTTTTCCTAAGGCCTCAAGAGGGCACTGCCACTTTTTAATACACACTGAAGTGTGCACATCTCAGATGACTCTCAGTACTCTTTGATACTCAACAATGGTATTTCTGTTGTTATTATTATATTTTTAAACATATACTTACCTAAAGTCCATGCAAAATAATACTTGGGTCTGGCAGCCATAAGAGACACATACAGGTAGAAAAACCTTACAGGCCATGATGCTGTAGCTCTGAAGTTATCATCAATGTTGTATTCCACAGGCAAAGTTTGTGTAATAGTCATGTGGAAGAGTAAGGACAGTCCACAGATCAAGAGCTTCTGTGCCACGGCTATCTGAAAATTTAAGGGAGATTCTGTAAGCTTCATTTTTTTGTTTATCTTTTGGAAACAAAGGAAAGTTATAATCTTCCTTCCCTATACAGACATACATATATGTTAATTTTTCAGTAATATATATACAAGCAACTTTAAAATAGTTTATAAAAAATCTGTTTTATAGAGATTCAAGGAATGTTGTTATATTGATCAAGTTGTGAGCATCACTTCCCATAGCCAATGCAATAAATCCAGTCTGACTACACTGACTCTCTAAAAGTCCTTTTAATAACCAGAGCACCTTTTGCAAGTCAGGGTTTTTTTTTTCTTATTTTCTTGTCAAATTACTGAAGCAATTAAATTGTTAAGACATCATAACACAAAACATATAATCTAGGACAAAGTAAGATTATTACTGCAGAGATTCCAGAATAATGGCAAAACTTCAGTTTCTTTTCAGGACCCTTTGGCATAATGCAGGTGTTCAATTTCTGCCCAACTCAATACATCAATCATCTCTGTTACATTATCGAAGCATCTAAATTCTAAACCAACTAAAATACTGAAATGATTTATGAATTTCAGCCCAAATTTCAGCCAATCAGTTCTAGATGGACCTGTTTTCCCAATCAGAGTGATCAAGCTACAATGGTACAAATAGTATGCTCACAGATATGTACAAGTGTGTTGTTCAGATAGGACCTACTCAAATTTTCTCAAAACTCAGCTTTGCTATAACCACCACAGTAAAGAGTATGTATCTTCAGTAGAACTTTTCTAAGGTTCTATTATAAAACATACAGAGCAATATAAGCAATATATGCCTGACACTGACTGCTTTAAGTCACTAGTCTGATCCACATCCCAAAGGCAGACACCATATTTTGTGAAAGACCCCAGTAACATACTAAAGGAGGCACCAACAAGAGAAGCTCAAGAGCTAATTCACAGAAATGTAATTTTCAAGCTTTTGTTTTAAGCAATCTCAATATTTAAACATTACTGGTTTAATTTACATTACAATTATACAGATACTAAACTTGACAAGAAAACAATCAATCTACTTTTGTTTGAAGCATCAGAACAAAAATATAACCAGAATCTGTCTGTGCTGCTTCCAGTACACCCACCCAAACTTTTAAAGATAACATCCTGCTTCACTGAGAGTTCAGCTCAACATTTAGTTCCAAAATAAAGGGCAATTTTTTTCTATGATAAAGAATGGGGCAGTAAATGTCCAACTGAAAGCACACACTTTGGCAAGACATAACATATCAAAGATTCACCCAGTTGCACAGATGTAAGAAGTGGTACAACCTGATTAAAGAGTGAGACTTGGAAAAGTTCTAAAACAGTGAGGGTATTTTTGGATATTGCATATATTTCACTTGGCTCATCTCAGAAGATATTTCAGAGAGGATCAGGAATCGCAATGATTTCACAAAAAACATCTGCCAGATAATTCGGGAGGCAACTACCTATTAATGGTTAAAGCTGGTGCTTAATTATTTGTTTGCTTTCTAATGAACTTCATTTTAATACTTTATTCTATTACAAGAGCTCAACTTGAAGAGCATTAATTTTCTAAAAGCATTCCTTGGTTATTTCAGAACTATTCATAATCCCTCTCTTTGCTACAGCAGAGGGAAAGTTCAGTTGGCTTAATGCCTTCAGGATCTTCAATAGAAATGTATGTTCATAAAATCAGTTACTACTAATACTAATGAATCTTTAATTCTGGTAATTCTGGTGACAAATACAAAAGTCTGATATTTGTAAGTATCAGAAGGCATCACCCCAAGTTTGAAGACATTTGCAAGGATTTAACTTTAAGGCCTAGGCCATAATTACAAGTCATGTTCAATTCTGCAGGAGAAACAATAAGCTGGTAACCATAACATGCAAGTTAAAACAGAAGTATGAATATATAAAATAGGTTCTTTCCATCTGAAGATGACTACAAAGTCTCAAAAAATGTTTTGGCCACTTATATTGTTATCTCTGTTCAAGGACCTGCCTTGTGCCACTGCCTCTATTTGCCAATTTTTCTTTTAGTAAACAGATGTCATTCACCTGCCTATTCAACACCAAATATGCTTTACATTTCTCTGAAGGTTGTTAAATAAATTGTGGAGGGGAAAACACCTCTTTTATGAAGGAGCATCAGATTTTCAACAAAATTTATTTTAAGAACAAATAATGAACTCATACAGTACTCTGTCATGAATTAAACATTTATTTTTTTTTAAATTACACTACTTCACTCAATAATTATAAATCCCAGCACGCTGATACCACTTACAGGGATCAGAATCAGGGATTACAGGGTCCTTAGAAAACTGTGGTGGAAATAAATCTCCCACCTCTGGGGAGCTGCTGTTTCCAGACTGGTTTAAGCAGAGTTTCTGAGGCCAAGCCAAACACAGGCTGCAATGCAAAGGAGTCCTGCCCTGCCTCCACTCCCTCTCTGAAGGTTTGGCTCCTTAGGCTGAGTCAGATTAGAGAAACAAATCAGATGAAAACCTAGATTTTTGGCATTTTGCAGGAGGGGGTTTGTTGGAAATTTTTTGGTGGGAAGGTGTGGTGATATGTCTGGTAGGTTTTGGTGGGTTTTTGTTTGTTTTTTCACGACAAGTTAGTTTCAGACAAATCAAATTATCTGACTCAAACTACAACACTGTGCAATGATACCAACAAAATCATTGTTCAATTTTTCAATTACCTATTGAAATGCATTTGGTAAAACATTCATTCACTTCTTATTACTTAATTAACCTTTCTTTGCCAAGGCATAAATGGGAAATCACTGAATTGCACAGTCACATAGAAGGGCTCATCAATTTTTACAAGGATGAAGTAATTTGTTTTACTTTTTTAAGTTTTTTTACATTTATTTTACTTTTTTAAGTTTTCAACATAGCAAAATAACTGTTCTGTTAAGAAATTAAAAGACAGTAAAATGCAGGATAACTTTGACTCAGAAGAAGCACAAAATACAAATTATTTTACAACAAAAAAGTAAAAAGATCTGTCTCATCCAGTTTTGATGAACAACTGAGCATACCTGTATAAAAATATGAAATATGATCAACACTAGGAAGGGAAGGAGGTACTTAAGCTAGAAGACAGTGCCAGGACAAAACTAGATGTGCATAAATTAGATGGGAATATAATTAGGTTGAAAGCTAGATACCTAATTGGAGAAAGCAGTTCAGGAGCAGCTTTCTAACTGAAGAAATAAAGGTAAAGCACTCACAGAGCTCAGAAAGTTTAGAAATAAATTACTGCATAAGCATGTATAACATATACAAATAGATTTTAAAAAGTAGAGAGGAATCTTGAAAAATTTTATTTGAATGAACTTGTTCTTAATTTGATAAAGAATCAGTACTTAATACATAATATTTAGTGGTATTAAAGCACATTATTTTGGAGAGGTTGGTGCCTCAGATAAAAACTATAGATACTTAAGCAAGAACATTATAACCTGTAGGAAGATTCTGCATAATAAGCAAGAAAGCAGATATCTGCTGACAGGAATCTTGTATTTTAAGGGTAGCCATAATAAAAAGAAACTTACAAAGACAGATATTAATTTCTGAGAGTTGACACCACTTTGAGCACCAACAACTGATAGCTTGCAAAAAGGCACAATAGGAGGGATATAAGAAGTAAGTTTTAATATGGTGACTTGTTTCATTTAACATGCAATGAACACAGCAAAAGTACTAATCCAAGTTTACATCATGCAGTCAACACACATTATAGAGGAGGAGGCTGGCATGAACTACTTCAGTTATGTAATTTTATTTAACAATAAATGAAACTTACTGTAACTCAGCTCAAGGATTCTTTTTTATTTATGACATTAACATTTGCTGATCTCCTCTACATTTCAAACTTTTTTGAGTTACGTAAAAATTTATTCTTCTTGAAATAATAACAAATTTTAAGTATTAATATAAAGTTAATGGTATTTAAACATTCTTCTAGAACAAGACAATGAATATTTTAATTGATACAGCAAATGCAGTGAAATTGTGTCATTCATCTTTCTCCAAAAGCACACAATACTCACTGGTGTTATAAAATGCAGCCAGATTTCTCTAACACCAGTTGGGAGATGAAATATCAGGAGCATAAACAGCTTCTCTTTGTTTTTATGTCAAAAGCTAATGCAGCATAAATTGCAAAAGTTTCAAGCATTTAAGAGCAAATAATTTTAAGGAAAAGCACTTACCTGAAAGAAGAAGCCATCATAGGTTTATATTTATTTCTATTGACCTTGTCCATATTACTAGCAAGATTATGTGGTAAAAAGCCAGGAAACTATCAGGCAATCAGTGGATGTGTGTCCAGAAGTACTGATACAGGCAGGTTTGGTTTACCTCCATTTATTTGCAAATATTTTACTATATAACAGTTTTCTGCAGAAATAGGATTTCAGTACACAAGACTTTACTGGGCCAAAACAACATTTAGAAACAAAAGTGCCTGCAACTTTGTGGATACAACACATCAAAGCAGAGCATGGGCCATGTGATGCTGATCTACACAAGGAATTCTCAGTGTCTCACCCTTCCTAACATGTTCCACAGCTCACTTGCGTGAACTCACGTGCTCTGTCAATTCGTGGAGCACCTTCAAGTGTTATCATCCTCCAGCCATGAGTTTAGATTCCAGTTGTGCAAGTTACTACAATCACACAAGATGGGTAGAATGGAACATGCAAAGAGTCCTCACCCACCTTTCCAAGGATGGAAGTGATTGGGAAGCACTCCCTGTTGGCCCAGCTGTGGGGCCATGACCTCTAGATGGTAGGACAAGACAAGCAGCTCCATGTGGGAAAACACCTCCATCTGCTCCAGCAACAGCTGGTCTCACAAGACAAGCAGAACATGGGCAACTGGTGCTGGAATTAGCAAAAGCCATCCATGTGACCCCATGATAAATCTGCCTCTTATGGGAGGTAAGAATTATCTTAGGCACATGTAAATTTAAACGCCTGATACATTACTACGTAAGACAATATGAAAAGAGTGAAAAGATAATATTCAATACTCTGGGCATTAACCTAATTGGACTAAATTTTAAAAGTTTTGTGAGCTTTTGATTTAAATTCTCTTGTAAGGCATGATCAACTGGATTATCTTTTCTATGTATTTGGTCTCTTCTCCAGTAACAGACCAAAGAAAAAAAAGACTTATGTGTCTTGAAGTATTGTTCATAGTGTTATGGGTAGTACATCTTTTACTACACCTTCAGATCAAAATCCTTCTTTAATACCTCTCCACATGACTGCAAGCATGAAAAATGAAACTATTTCTATGACCTTTTCAATTTGTTACATATGACTGGGTTTTTATGCACAGTATATGTTTTGAAGTGAACATGCATGAACAGTTTTCATTTAAAGATGGCTTTTTACCATATAAACTTGTTAGGAAGCTCCAAATTAATCTGCTTTTATCCACAAGATCCAGACTGGAAACCATGGAGAAAACCTGCCTTTAAAAAATAAGCATGTAACTTTTTGAACAAGGAACTATTCCGTTGATGAACGAACTCCAGACTCAGCTCAGCAGTTATGCCTGTAAATGAAGAGTGCAAACCAAGCTTTCCATGCAATGATTCCATAAGCATCAGCACTGCAAGAGTCACACATCTTACATTTGGGGAAGGATCCGTTTGTTCATACTTTGTATCTTCCTTCCCATTTGCTTCAGACTGTTGCAGTTGGTATGATCTGCCTTCAATGAAAGTAATATAGTCTTTGTAAGAGCATAACGGGCCTGCCAGGATACCCATGAAATTACAGTTGTAACTTAAATACTCCAGTAGACTTGGCATGCGTCTGTAATTCAAAGACAAGCAACTGGTGAGATGGATTGTGTAGTTCTTCAGGATTTCCACAGTAGGAAAAGTCACACTCCATGCTACCACTCTCTCTAACTGCAGTAAAAACCACATGGACAAGAGCAGTTTGTCTGTCTTTCGTAATCACAGCTTGAAACATTCTACACATAGCATTTCTTTCCAATCCATACTGGGCATTTTGAGACAGACCTCCTGAACTCTACTGAGTCTCTCCCTGCCCAGCAGAGGTGTTTGACTGAAGCTGAGCCTGAGGAAGGAAAGGGAGGGCTGTTTTCCTAAGTGTTTGTTCCACTGCGTAAACTATTTTTCCCTCAACAATTGAATCAATAAACAAAGGTTTGGCCTAACTGGCAATAATTTCAATTTAAACAGATGTCTCAACACTCTCTTGCCCAAAGCAACATACTATTTTCAAGTGTCCTGAATAAAGTACTGAGAAAAGGCAAGTTAAATACTGAAAAACAGAATTTAACAATGTTTCTTCACCAGCTACTTCATATGTGTACTCCTATCTGATATGGCATGCATTTGCATAGACTGCATAGAACTTAGAATGTTCTTTTTAAATAACTATAAAATCTCCTCCTAGTGATATTTTTCAGAAGAACAGATATACAAATTAAACTAAAAATATATAAAAACATGGATCTGTTTTACATGACCTTATAAACTCTGTCTTGAACCTGAGCTGTAGAAACTGCAGAGAGCATTAAGAAAATACACAAAACATCCCCAAAGCAGAATGTCTGAAAGCCTACCTTACAGCTAAACACCTCTGTGATGGAGTCAAGTCTTCATTTTTCCGAAACATTCCTAGGGAAGAGGACAAGAAAAAGAAAAAAATAAAGAAAAGCTAAATCCCCCCATATTTTACTCAGCAGAACAAGTCTCATGCTGCAATGTAATTTCTTAATGCCTCAATCGATTTCAGAGCTATTATGTCACATAACATTTTTGCTGGAGTTGGATCAAACAATTCTTACTGACAAAATCACAAACTCTCATATCTTCAGTTATATCCAGCAGTGCCTAAATGTGAAATCATGTGGATTTTAGGAAAGCAATGACAACTTGAAAAAAGTGTTAACAAAAACAATTCTTCTACATTAGTTGAGACTTCAAAGTCTGCAGGTTTTAAAACCCTTTATTTCCAATTCTGGAAACAGGACAAGCCCCAAAACACAGCCATTGTCATAGCCATAGTCACTGCAGTTTCCATGCATGAAATGGACACAGTCCAAGAGAGATTTCAGCAATTGGAAACTTAGAACAGATCTCAAGAACAACTTTGCACTGCAAATAAAGGTCATGACCAAGCTCCAGTGAAGCAGGCATGGCAGTAAAGGGTGCCACAGCCTTTTTCCTGAGCACTAACAAGAAAAGCTCTAACCCCTACTAGCAGAAGAGGGCAGTCCAAGTCTAAGTTCAGCAACAAGACTGAGTTTACTTCTTGCCATATGTGGCTATTTCTGAAATGCTGGCAATCTATCCCTGTAAAATAGTCTTCAAAATCTCTTTACTTTCATCAAAGAGAAAAGTAAAAAATAAGACTTTCAACATTTTCATTTATTATGAAATATACTAATTCAGGGGAACAAAAAAAGTAAGAGCTCCCTCCTTCAGACAGCCCTGGCTAATACCAGCCAGCACTGCCTGCCAGAATGACCACTTCAGTTCCTCCTGCAGCCTTCTCCAGTGGCTCAGATATTCCCACATGCAGCCATTTCCTGCTATTCATACTTGCATTTTTTCTTTGCCATTGCAACTACTAAAAACTTTATCCACATAGCTTCCTAAAGGAAATCAAATTTATGGGATCACACTTCAATTATCTTTCTCCCCAGCAGTGCTTAAACCCAGCAGCCAATTTCTAATCAAGTTTGACAAAAGAGCAGGGCAATCTAAATATGAAATCCTAATGTGCTTTATGAAAATAGATGTTTCTATAGAAGATACTCCTCCTGTCATAGAAAGGTTGCCTCCAACCCCACTCTTTGATGCCAGTAAATCCACAGAGGGGAGCCCTTATTCTTGATCCAGGCTAAGTTTCAACTGGAGCCAATTTTTTTTTTAGATATCAAAATCAGTGAGCCTTATGACAAAAAAGATTGAGGAGCTGAGGGGAAGTAAAAGCTAATTTAATTCTATGACTCATGGAAACACTTGTTATCTACAACGAAGGAAATTCTGTTGCCTTAGAGTGTGACTCCACTATGGCCACGATCCACACACACTTATGACTTCAAAACCACACTTTAAGTCCTCAACAAAGCTGAGAATACAGAGGGAGTTACCAACTTGCCACCTCCTCTCCTTCAATATGACCAGGGAAAATGCCTTCCTTGCTCCTGATCCTTCACAGTCAAAAGTTATCACCATTCAGACTCATTCAAGGCAAGAAAAAAACTGAAGAATAAATTATCACCCCCTAACTTCATGCAGCACCTTTGATGTCTCAGGTTTTAGCTTTTCTATTTTTCAGATTCTGTGCTGCTTTAGTGTGTGGGTCTGAGCTTCTTATTAGGGGATGGTGAGCTCTCTTCACAGAGTAGGGAGACAAACCAATTCCTTCTCTAGCTGGGGACCAAGGACAGCCGATCCAGATCTCAGGCCCAAGAGCATAAACAACGTGGACTGAAGACAGAAAAACAAGAAGGATGGGACTTCACAAGCTAAAGCTGTAATTGGACAATTAGCTCCAATATGCTAATGGACCAGAATTTATAAAAGCGAGAGACCCCGTGCCCGCTCATCCATTCTTGTGACCATTTTGGGTTCACCTTGGGTGTAGGCCTGGCTGGGCTCTTGTGCTGCCCAAGGTGGATCTACTGAGGCCTCCTAATAAATACCTACTTTATTCTTTAGCTCTGTCTAGTCTCTGCTCTAGATCAGCCTTCACAAGGCATCACCTTCTCTTCCTCATCATTACATTTTCACATCTTCTCCTTGGTTCTGTAGCAACGGCTTTTATGCTGATAAAGGCACTGAATAAAAAATGTGAAAGAAGCATTTTGAAAGATTCTGTAACCTTTAAGGCCATAATATTACAGTTCTCAGGTAGTGAATCTCTGAATTTAATACAAACAAATTTAACACAAAGACATCTATAGATGGATGTAGATCCCATCACATAGTGAAGTGTGTCATTCAGAGCCTTCAGTCTCTCACAGCCCACACAATGTAAACTGACTGGAGCAGGAGCCTCCTTTGCCATTATATTCCATATAAGTATTTTACCCTGAAGTCAGAAAGAGGAAGCTATCACCCAGTGTGTCCAAATGAACTTGCATAAAGCAAGATTAGTCATTAAATAAAGGAAATTAGTCAAATGAAATATTTCATATTACAAATGTGTGACCAAAAAGGAGGAAAGACACTCAAACCTGAAATAGAAGAATCTAATCAATGGAATATGATCTGAGGTTTTGGAGAGGTAGGAGGAAACAGGTTTAAAACAGGTTTTAGTTATGTTATGTATGTAATTGTTACATATATACATATGAAGTCATTTAAGGCCCTTTGTGAGCAATGCACTTGCTGTCTAAAATATACTGCATCCAAGTAGGCCTCCGTTAATTTTTCATTTCCTATCTCAAGAAGGTTTCCCTCCAGCCAGCAGATTCTTTGAGGTCAGGTTAGTGGCTTTCCGTTTTGTTGGGGCTTCTTTTTAAATGCCTTCTCAGTGTCTTCAAGGCCCATTTATCATCTTAGCACAGCATGCAAGAACATGATGATCTCTGTCATACTCTTGAAAGCTTTCAGGAAGCTACCGTTAAGATTTTTTAAATCATAGAAAATAAACATGGAAGAGGTGTTCTTACATTGCTGCTTATTCAATATGAGATTCAGTACGAATTAATAAATACACATTCACTACTTCCCAGGCCCATGGGAAAAGAGACCTGATAAACCATAGCTGTTCCCTACCTACTACACACTGGAGATGAAGAGCTCCCACTTCAGCAGTACACACTGCTGCTAGGGAACTCATGAGGTTTTGCAGCATTCCTTTGGAGATTTTAAGAATTGCCTTCTTCTGTCCTAAAGTGAGAGACTACCACAACAACTCCTTCTTACTACAAAATCACATGGCAGAGATTAGAGAAAATGGGTTTTATTGAACATCTGTTAGAGAGGTGAAACAATTCGGTCACTCAGCAACGGTAACTCCATTTTCTCATCTGTAAAGCAGGAAATACTCCTATGTTCCTTCCTTGGTAAAAGAATTATGTAAATCATCAGTAAAAAAATTTCCCACGTGGTCTACATCATGAGGAAGTTCTGTCTTTACATTCCTTCTCAAGAGCCCATATCCTAATGGTAACAAACCCTTAGGCACACACCACTATCCTGCCACACAGACTTTATTATGGAATATTATGACTGCTTCTGAGCTCTCACTGCAACAGTATTTACAAATATTATCACCCCATCTTTGTGGTTAAACTTATCCACTTTTATATTTGTATGGAAATCTGGCTAATCAGTAACTAAAAATGCCTAGACACAGGATTATACATTAATAATAACCATAGATCCTATCACAGGATCTGTTGCAATTACAGTAAATTTTTCTAGTTCTGAATTGAATCACCAACTGAGCCCAAATGCTGTTGTTATTAAAATATTTTAAGATCCAAAGACAGCCAATAACAGTTTTAGTTGTTATTACCACACTGGCAGCAACAAAGGCAAATAGGTAGAATGCCCACTGAGTAAAATTGGAAAAAACCTACCAAAAAAGCAAGAAAATGTACAAGTCTTCATATCCAGAGAGCCATACAAGCAAAACAGAGGCACAAAACTATACTTGAAAACTTAGAAGGGGAAAAATACAATATAATTCTTTTAACCACTAAGGACACATATGATAAAAAAATAATTCGGTAACTGATACTGAAACATAGTGCTGTCACTATCATAACAGAGAGCACATTAAAAAAATAAATAAAAATCAAGAGGTAGATGGAGACAGAGCATTAAAAGGAAATCCTAACCATAATAACCATATCCTAATAATAATTCTAACCATAATAAGAAAGCAGCAAGTTACCAAATAAAAACCCCAAAACAGCACTACACCATGACAGTTTCACTGATATAATTAACAGAAATATTAGAAAGCAATATTTTTTTGTTAAACAGCTGCAAATTTTTTGTTCTAATAAAAATAAAATTCCTTTTTCTCCCTTAACTCTGTTATTTGCCCGAAGTGTTGCTTAAATAAATCTAAATCTTCACATAAAGAATTAATATGGACATCAGCAGTTTCCAAATTACATAAAAACATTTCTCCCTTTAGAATATACATGTGAGATGCCAGGGGTAATCAGCAAAAAATACAAAGCAAATGTTAACACACTGACTACTCATTTTTGGCATTGCTCATTTGAGTAACAAGGAACTGCAAGGTAAGAACTACCAAAGACTGAAGTTCAAAATGTAGATCAGAATACATGAAAGGCATACACCAAATCTCTTCAGGTGTAAGTTTGTGATCCATGCAAACTTCTGGAATGTTTGTATTGTACAGCAAGCTTAAAGTACAGTATCACAGAATAGGCTGAATTGGAAGGGACCCCCAAGGATCATCAAGTCCAAATCATACGCAACTTGCATTTAATTTCCCTGCTTAAAAAAATCCCTCACGGTAAGAGCACAAGGGTCTAACAGTTATAGGGGTAGCTGTTATTTGTGTATGGGATTCCATACTAGTTTTCAGTTTGGAATCAAGCATATCCACTTAGCTAGACAGACACTTGAATATGCAGCAAGAGTGAGTGGCCTTTGTGGCTACACTCAGTTCACTCCAGGACCTTCAAATGAAACCAGCTGAAGACAACAAACTGGCTGCCATGGAAAGATCAAGTCCAGAAGACTGGCCTTTAGCAAAAACTAACCCAGCTACCAATGGAACCTTGAAGTTTACCAGGAACTTCCAACACAGCAACATTTTTTCCCGGCTGTTTATTTTCATTACACTCCTTGGATGTACTGGTAAAAAAATGAGGGAAGAAAATAAAGTAATTGGTGTTTAATATAGCCAAGCTGATGTAACTAGAGGCTCAGAGTGTCATTAATCACTTAGAATTATTTGCAACATTATCTCCTCTCCTGTCCCTATATCTCTAAGTAATTTCCAGTGGAAGCATGTACCTTTGTAGAGTGAACAAAAGCCCACTGACAGCACGGCTTGTTTTCATTAATTTTTCATGAAGGATCCCTTTTAGGTTGTCTAAGATTAAAAAATTTTGCTTTAAAGCAATCTTAGTCTTCCCTGCACATCTTTTCTTATCATCTCATGACACCAGACTATCAGCTGCTTCTGAATTCACATTGGTCACATCAACTTTTCAAAGTCGTGTTCACAACTGTGACCATTCAACTCAAGGAATCTGCTAAACTGCTGACACAACCAGAGAAATTTTTCCAATATAGTTACTACTCAAGGGCTGACAAAGAATTTAGAGTCAATGAGGAACAAAATGTCAAGACTTACACTAAAAATTCAATGTATAAAGAAATCCAGAAGAAAATACAAATTATCGGAATTAATTTAAGTAGGAAAAAATCTAGTCTAGTTCATGATGAAAGTTAAGAATAGAGCTGACTAAATGAAACATTTGTCTCAAGACTGCCAGGAGCACTCACATGCTTGTTCCATACCACCACTCCACTATTTGTGCATGATGTCAGCAAATTCAGAATAGCTCTTTCCCCAGCAAAATAATAGTAAGAGGAAGCATTCATGCCTGATACCAGAACTATTACTTCCTTATAATAACCTGTTTCCACTAACCTGTGTACTCTTTACTTTAGTTGATTATAGATTGCAAAATTACTACTTCCTTCCGAATAAAATATTTTCTCTGGAAGGTAAACATCAATGTCTTTGACCAACTAGATAAGCCCAGCATTATTTATTTTCATTCACACAAAAATATTTTTAAAAGGTCTTTACCCAACTTTTCATATTCCTGAAAGTTTTTGCCCACAGGCTTCTCTAGACAGTGCCACTTAACAATGGAAAAAACATTAAACACCAAGAGCACTAAAGCAAGGATACATATGAGGCAGAAACATATTAAACTTCATGCACAGTGTTAATAAGCAATATCAGAACAGCAGGTGTCTTTATCCAGGTGTCTGGAGCTACACTCCCAAATCTTCAACTGACATCTGTAGCTCCAAGTGATTCAAGCTAATTGGATAGATTTATGAGATGACATTTTCAAACTTTAAAATGAAAATTACTCCTTTGAATTTTAAGGTAACTAAAAACCTAGCTATTCTGCCCATGAAAGCCAACATTAGGATTCATTGTCACAGGGCCCACTTATCTGATGGATACATCTGACAGGAGAAAAGACATAAACATAATTAGATAATCTCCCTGTTCACCGCAATCTGTTAGCTATGAGTGTAATTATGATACTAAACAAAATGAAACACACAAAGGTTTTATAAAAATCAGCATATATGGCACAAACTAGGGAAGTGCTCAAGAATTAGCATTTTAAAACAAAAGGTGCTCAACAGCTGGAATTACATGTGCCTTTTCTATCCATCTGTCAGCGACAGAGGTCTCTGAATCTGGAAGTTCTTTAGTTAACTCTCACAGTCAATACCCCAGCCCAAAAGAATATCATTGCTCTTTAGACATTGACTCCAGAAGCGTCACTGGTCTGATAAGTCATATCTTCTGCACAGTGCCAGCATTTTTAGAGCTTCTGTCGAGTCAGAACAACATTTCCCAGTACTTTCATTAATAAGCATCAATGAAACAACCGAGGCACAGAAATTTATTTTGCATTGAAACACAAGTGTGGTCTAAAGTAATTCACTGACTCATGACGAACTTTGGTAAAATTTATTTTGTATGGAAAATTAAACACAGTAAAGAAATCTTACCATCATGAATCTCAAATGCCAAACTAGTGATCTTCTGTGTAATTATCATCATTGGACTGTCACAAAAAAAGGGAAGAAAGAACAATTTAGATACAAATTCAGGATTTTCTTTCACTTATAAATACCAGGGAAATTTTATATTAGGACTCCAGGTTAACTACTCTAAGCTGGAACATCTTCAATGCAAGAACAAAGTGTTTCATTTTTTCACTCAAGCCATTGCAGAGTTTTCAATGCAATGAGAAGAATTTAAGCCTTAAATGCAGTATTTGATAACACCGGTCTTTTATTGCTGCATTAGGTTCTACAAATACAGCTGAAGTGTTTCACATTTATTTTTTACTAACATAGTTTATTTTCTTTTTACAGGGAGAAGAGTAAAGAAGAAAAGACAGAGCAATTATATTCATTGCAAGATACAGCAGCAGTAAGCAAAAGACAAGAAAATTATAACGAAGTTGAATATTAAAATAAGTTATTTAGCTATGCAGACCACTTCCATGGTTTCTACTAACACCTGATCCTATCTTTGATTTTTCCATCAAGAATTATTATTTGCTCCAAGTAAACATGGCAAAATACCTGGCAAAACAAAAACCCAGCATAATTATGATGACTCAAACAGAGTTCACTTTGTTCTGAATTTGGTACACTTGAGTGAATCTTAAACTGTCCAAGAAATATTCTGCCATGGCTATCCAAGTCAGTTTTGTACTGAGAAATTATACCATTTTCATAGTATCTAAGAGTTTTTGCCTGATGTGACTCTCAAAATTATGAACCCCCTCCCTGGGGTAGGGAAGCAATGGGGAATGCATAAAGTGAACTACTACAATTTAGAAATTTAATTTTTAAATCAGATCTCAAAAAACACATCAGGGGCTGAATTTACCTAGAAGTATCTGAGCTGGAGAAAAAAAAAAAAAAAAACAGCAAGCAAAAAAACCCTCACAATAAAAAAATAATGTTGTACAATGGGCACTTAGTTTTGTTCATGTCTTGAGTGTACTTGGCATCTTTGTAACATGTTATGTTGGCACGGAAACACAAATCCAAAAGCCATCAAGTCCACCTTCATCAACAAGGCAGTATTTTACCATATGGTTCAGTCCATAAAATTGATTTTCTTTTTAGGTAATGGTTAAAATGGTTTTAAAGCACACAACTATTTCCAGTCCTCAACATACACTCAGGGGAAAAAAAATTCTACAGTACTACCAGTACCCCAAAATCCTGATACCAAGACTAAAGTGACACACAAGGGTCATAAAGGAAGAAGACTAAACAGGAACAAATAGTCTGATAAATCCCTCATACCTTTTTCTAGCATTTAATCTGTAGGCCTGCCTGGTGCTGGCAGAAATCCCCAACTGACTCTAAACATAATGGGTTTTCCTTCTGTAAGCAGACATGTGACAGCATGGGTCCTGCCTGGTGGAAGGACGGAGTCCAGGAGGAGCTCAGTCGGCCCTTACATTAATTCCAGCTGATAAATCTGTCATTGTTATCATAGCAGACCCTGGTATTCTATTTTTTTTTTTCTCCTGAAGTGGCTATTCCAGTACCATCAAATATTTGGCTGAGGAGCAAAAATCTGGAGACTAAAAGAGGAAGAGTCCTTCCTGGCACAGTGAAGCTGTGAAGCAGGATTTTAACAATCCCTTTTAGGTGCTGGCAGAAAGGCAAAGGAGGCAGCTGGGATCTGTTAGTACTGCAGCCAGGACCACACAGCTCTGCACAAGCAATTGCATCTCCAGCATGAGGTGTCCCCAGCTTTCTCCTCTGCCAGTGCACTGAGAGCTTCCTTCAAATTTTGAGCAGATTTTCTCAGCTTGGGCACCTCAGACAAGCACTGCATGCTAGGAGAAATATCTACGTAAACACACATTAAAGCTCTTTTGGGTCTAACCACTGTACAAATCCATGCCAACATCTTTAGAAAGAAGAACTTGCTCATACTGGAGCTCAGCAGCTAGTTAGGCAACTTTAGGGGTTTTTTTGAGCTTACTGTCTTCTCCCAGAACCAGAGAGTTTTCTTTCTCTGCCTGTTTTGGAAGTAATCTCTGTCTTGTGTCAAGGGAGCACATGCAGTGTATGCCAGAGATTTAATGTGATATGCATACATCAAGCTCCCAAACTGGTACATTTAAGGGTGGTTGAAATCTGCCATCTCAAACACACAATCAGAGAGTTGGATCCAGGCTTCAGAACAGTTCTGTCCAGAGCACAGAGGTCATAAATCATGAAATGCTTTGGGTTGGAAGGGACCTTGAAAATCATCTACCTCCATCATCCCTGCCCTGAGCAGACACCTTCAATTAGATCAGGTTGCTCCACCCAACCTGGCCTTGAACTTCTCCAAGGATAGGATGTGGGTATCTTTGGATGTGTTTAGACCTAACAGAAATCTCTGAGCTACCACCAAACCATCAGAGCCACAACTGAAAGCAGTACAGTCCCATGTGAGCAATGGTGTGCTCAAGCTCTACTAAATGTTTTGAGAATGAGAACAACAAAGTGTAATTACACTGTTTCCACAGTCAGCTCAGAACTTTGATCACTGCCAGGGTTGTGCACTTTGGCCCTACAGTGAACTGGAAGGGACAGCATCTGGATTACAGTTTCACTAGTAATGGTGAAATTATGTCCAACATCAGTAAATCTAGTGTCTTTATGCATATGACTGTGCTGCAAGCTCTCATTACAGCCAGTGGAGATGTGGTCCAGAGTCAGGGACATCTGGCAAGTGACCCAGTTCACACTCAGGTAGACACTTAGTGCTGGGTCAGCTGCAATGCCCTCCAGCCTCGACTGTCCACATCAATCACATCTCTGCTGACTACAACTGGAACTTGGGTATCTGGCTTGAAGGCAGACACTTGGATGTAAGACAAATGTAGGAAGATGTTGTAGAAGGTAAGAAGATAAAGATGACAGAAAAGATGAACTCAACCATAAGAGCTTTTGGCTTCAGCCTACAAGTTAATTTTCTGGACTACATGCCTGTTACCAATAAAGACTGAGAAGTAACAAGGCTAACAAGTACAATTCTATCACAGGTTATGCTAAACTACAAAGACCACTGCCATTCACAGTATCCCTGGAAAGTACTTAATGCATTATTTTAAGCAGACTAGCAAGTACTCCTCATCTCTTTTTTTTTCCCCCCCCTTTTTTTTTAAAGGAGAGAATATACACTCTCCTTTAAATCAACAAAAGCACTATCACAGCAGCAAACTTATTTGTAAGAAATGTTGTACTTCACTTCTTTGTGTCTGCAACAGAAAGAAGAATTACCAATATGGTTTATTTTTATTTTGCCCATTTAATTCTGTTTTGCTCCTATACAGTTCAAGTCAAATATAGGTATAAGTTCACGATATAATATGAGGGCAAACAGACAAAACTTTCTGTTTCTCTGTGACTACCTCAACATCCAGGTGCCTGTCTCCTTAGCTTTCTCCTTCTGGAACATCTAACATAAAATGAAAAAAAGAAAGAAGCTAAAAGCTAAATTCCATAAAATGTTCTGATTTTCCTCATAAAGTGGTATCAGACTGTGCCAGGCAAGTAAGTACACCAGACACAATTGCTGTCAAGGATGGTAGCAGACACTTTAATGGAAAAATCAAAGAAAAAATTCCCATAGCCACCAAATCCTTTATGCCATTCAGCCAGGAACAAGAGGCAATAAATAACACATTGGTGGTTCTAAGAAGAACAATTGTTCACAAGAATTCTCAATTTGTATGATTAAAGCATAGTTACTTATATATTTGCACGTGTGCCAATATGCACATACATGCTCAGCTTTCTCCCAAAGTTTTAAAGGTTGACACAATTAATTGGGGGGGCGGGGAAGAGGGGAGAGCAACAAGTAAAAAATCCCCAGCAACAACAGATACAGTATCACTTAGGAGGAAAAGATAGGAAGATTATTTTTGTCCTTACCCAGAAAAATCAGCAGAATACTGTCCATAATCAAAGATATAGACCCTAGTAATTTGGCACACAGTGAGGTATCCTAAAGCGAAAACAAAGCAATACCTGGAAAGAAAATGGGGAAAGAAATTCAATTAAAAATCATAAACATTTCTCCACTGAATAAAGTATCATTTCAATAGAATTTAATCTCCAATTATTTCTACAAAATATTACATAATAGGAATCTGTAATTATACTTTATTCTGCCTGAGGTTTTTTTGCAATGTTTATTCTACGCAAGCCCATACTTTTTTATTTGAAAGTGTGCAGTTCAACCATAGAAATTCTATTGTCAGTAGCCAAAATACTTAATCACACCAATGAAGCCTAGAATTTACAATTGTAAGCACCACTGTAAAAACTGCAAGTCCTATAAAGAGAAAATTAATCTGTTAAGGTTGGTTTTTTTTGTTTTTTGTTTTGTACTTCAGGGCTAATTTTTGTCTCTATGAGCATAGAAGTTTGGAAAATGATACATCAAATAATTCCCATTGCATGTATACTGCTATGCATTCAAAATTCAGTACCACAAATCGTATTGCTGCTGTTTTCAAAGGAACTGGAAAAGTCAAGTAATTTTCAAATACACATATTAAAATACAGCTGAGTGAAAAAGGAACAGGACACCTTTTGTCTTCTGTTAAGCTGATCCTGAGCAAAGGTAAGAAAAAACACATATAGGAACTGTAAAACTGTTACAATGTTATAACTAGATGAACTGTGAAAGTGTTCTATGTATGACTAAATTAGTTTTACACACCATTTTCTCAACAATACACTAGAGAGAACTGATCTGCCAATACACCTCACAAAATCTGCCAGATGTTCTTTGAAGTGCAAAAGGACAGTGAATGCCAGCAGGAACTTAACTAATCCTTTAGGACTTTAATGTATGAACTCCACAGTCTTTACTTCATGCACAAGACTGATGTGCAATCCCTGCAGCAGACTGCATAACGCATCTAAAATCCAGTTAGAATGAAAATATTCATTCAACAAACTGAAAATCACAGCCAGGACTGGATTTAGGTGAACCAGTGAGGGACACTGCAAGACTACTTTGGAACATGACTTTCTTTTCCAAATAAATATTTTGCAAGAATTCATTAAGAAAAATCTAAGGTCTTAGAAACTACTCTTCAATCTGACACTTGCAGTTTAACTGGAAAACATGCTATATATAAACCATTGAATATTTTAAAGCATCCAACTTTGAAATCACAGATTACCTTATATACCATTAAATTACATGTATTTTGGTGAAAAAAAAAATTAGAGGGTCTGTTTTAGCAATAGTTTATTTTATGTTTTCATTAGCATTCACAATCCAAAAACAGTATTATACTGGGAGACTAACTAGTACAAAACTGCTTATAGTAAGAATACACTGGCACAGGTTGCCCAGAGAGGTGACAGATGCCCCATCCCTGCGAACATTCAAGGTCAGGTTGAATAGGGCTCTGAAGAACCTGATCTAGTTGAAGATGTTCCTTGCAGGGTGGACTAGATGTCCTTTAAAATTAAATTCAAAGTGATCCACAATTATATGAAATAAACAATAGTCATCATGACCAACATGGTAGGGGTTTCTCACAACATTCAGTTAATACCCACACTGAAGTTAAAGTACAGAAATGGAAGAAAGAAAAACAAAACACCTTAAACTTCTTGATTTGATTCGAAATTCCAGTCTAAAACAAAAGCTGTCTTCTGACAGAGCAGTGAAATTTGCTGCTGTTGCACTCACCAAACACAACTATGAAACTTAACTATCTTCCAGTTATTTCAGCCACAGTTCCAAGTTACACACAGACTGGAAGACTGAAAATTTTTAATTGATGAGTAAAACACAGGAACTTGCAACCCATACAATGCTTTTCAACTTCCACCTGCATCTCTGCACATTAGTCATGCCACACCACATCCCTTGTTCATGAGAAAGGTCATTTCACCAGGCAAAGTGCAGCAATACATTCTCCCCTAAGGAACTTAAAAGATTTATGACAGCTTGCATCATTCCTGTTATTTCTTCTGCAGGTTTGTAGTGCAACTTGCTGATCATTCTAACGCTCATGTAAATCCATCTTTAGTTTAAAAAAATCAGATAAGATCTGAAAATGTTTTGAGAACTTTCTAGAATACTCTTACTACATGTTTCTTACTCTCTTCAATAATTCATTCAACAACCCTTAGATCAGAAAATTGAGTGAAGTTTTGCAGAGCTCAACCACATCAAGCTTTACCCAACTATACAGCTAATTACAAACTTCACACAAATGCAATTTACCCAACTTTCTCCACCAGCAGAAAAGCAATTGGTCTTAAAAGTCAATGTTACTCTATACTTGCTTCTCACTGTATAATGTTCTTGTGAGCAGAAAGATGAAAATATTTCACACTGAAGATGAACAGCTACAAGCAAGTCGCAACATGGTTATTATTACAAGTAACTTTTAGACAAACTGACCTGCAATGATATAATACCTGTATTATGTAACAGAAAGACCCCAAAACATTCATTTAAAATATGTCTAATTCCCAGGATCTTTGTCAATACAACTTTACTTTATTTATCAACAGATGCACCAAATTCAGACACATCTGGGAGACACTGCAGCATGTACCAGAAACCAGAACACAGTGATATGTTTAACTCCTAATTAAAAGTTTAAAAAAAAAAAGAAAGAAATTAAGCCAACAATACTGGATAGCCTATTATATAGAGGGGCTTTTCTTGTACAGGTATTTAATATAATATTTCAATTCCTTACAATTTTTAACATCTCAGAACACTAAAAACAGTATGCAATATGTTTTACTCATAAAATTGTATCTTTCCTTTAAAAAGAAATGTATCAAGTAAACTACTCAATGTTAATGTTTTTTAGAAGTACATTCTAGCATATTATAAATGAAGTACCTTAACTGTACACATAAATACTACAATATATAGAAAATTCTAAGTAAGCAGCCTCTCCATGAACTTCTTTACAGAAGGTGTTCATAAAGAGAACATCCACTTATTTCTATTTTTTTAACAAAGGCAAATGAATATCTTATTAGCAAATAAAATACATTGTCCTATTCACTATTTTTTGTCTAGTCCTATTTTGACAACTAATATTTAGCAACATACATATCAGGAATTTTTACCTGCATGAATACATATAAAACCAAAATACATCATTCTATCTATATGTATGTATGTATCTATCTATATATATATATGTACACACACACGGATATACAGATATACAGGGGTTGGCTTCTTCCCATTACATGAACTTTCTTCTAGTCTCCAAACATCCTAATGGAATTTGATACACATTTTCTATTACACTTTCTACTGCTAACACTACATAGAATGACTCCTGAAACACCATTTCTGTTAATGAAGAAAACTTCAATCTCTTCCCTGTACTCCTCTTTTTTACTGTCCTCGTAAGTTTAGCACAGCCAACACAGTAATAGCATTGCTCACTTCAGTGTAAAGTGGTTGGATTTTGTTTGAACAGTTGATTTTTTTTTTCCTACAGGCAAAGCATTTTTATCCAGTGTCACCTTAGAATTCAATCCACATGACACAGCGTCACAGTAACTCCAGCTGGCAGCCACTCCCTCACTGCTTCCACCATACACCCACCACCCATGGGAAAAGGGAGGAGTAGAAAGAAAAGGTGAATCTCACAGGTTGAGATAAGAAAATTTATTAAGTGCAACTAGATATCATAATAATAAATATACTAATACTGATAATAATTGAAATTAAAAGGAAAGGAAGAACATGTAATAGTACCCAAGAGAAAAGAGATGCACAGTACAATTGCTCATCACCTTACTGCTTACTGAGGAGCAGATCACTCCCCTTCCAGGTAACTCCCCCCAGTTTATCCAGTGACCATGTCACTCTATGGTATGGAATATCCCTTTGGCCAGCTCAGGTCAGCTGTCATGGCCATGCTTCCTCACAGCTTCTCGTGCACTTCCTCACTGGCAGAGCATGGGAATCTGACATGCATCTGCCTTATAGCAAGCATTACCTAGCCACAACAAAAATGTCAGTGTGTTATCAACACTATTCTCATACCAAATCCCAAGCACAGCAATGCACCAGCTACTAGGAAGAAAATAACATTGTCCCAGTCAAAAGCAGGGCATACAGCAGCCATCCTGCCCAGCACATCCTGTCTAACAGGAGAACATAAAGGCTCAGACACAGTCTCCATCTAGCCCAGGTTCCAGAACTGTCCGCAGCAGGAGCTCAAACACAGATGCCCAGAAATGCAGATGAGAAGAACAAGCACTGAAGTTACTTCCCAGTGTTCTCCCACACTAAAACCATCAGCATAGTCCCAGATTCAAACACATTATCCACGTGTTTAATAACACTCAGCATACTACACCTCTATCAGCTTCTGGCTCCATAGCACACTCTCATCTTTGCCACACTCTGTTGCTCCAAATACACTTGAGAAAGAGCTGTTCATCTCAGTATCTTCAGCATAACCATACACAAATTTGGTAGAACTGAATGAGCCAGCAGAGCCCACTTATATAAAGCTTCCACATATTTAAGAATGTAAAGATTACATATGTGGTTTAAAGGCAGAATCCCCATCTTTTACCTGTGTTCCTCAGAAATTTTGGGTTGCTAGTCAAGAAAGAACATCCACACATTAATTCTAGAGCTTTGCCTCTGTGATGAGCAAGCTGAGCAGCACAGAGATCCAGGCTAACAATCAGCCAATATATGTTATGTTTTTGTATAACAAAGCGTGGGAGTTGCTTTTGCATTTTACACTTTTGGGGGACTCAGCATCTTAGTTATAAAATGTACATTCCTACTGTACCTATCTCTGATTGCACAAAATGCAGCAAAAATAGAACAGTGACCTTGACAAAGGCAGGCTTTGAGAGATGTCATAACAGCTTCTGTTATTTTAGGCTCTTCTCATGCAGTAGAGAAGGACAACAGCACAATATGCTATTTTGCTGGAAGAAAGTTAAATAAACCAACCAACACAGGGTGCTTTTTTACCACCTAGTTGGCAAATACTACAGAT